GCAATCCATACACTAAATAATCAGTCCACCCTTGTAGACAAAAACAACCTGTCGCATTTGGTAACCGTGGCTCCGTCTCCCACCGGTGGGCGAGCGCTGCGACACGTTCCACCCCCTCGGACCGCCGCTCCGTTGTTATTCCCGACCGTCGTCCGATCGCCCCTTTCGCCTCAGCGGCGACGCGTCCGGCTCCAAGCCCTCCACGCTCGCCCTCCACGCTCGCTCTCCACGCTCGCCCTCCACGCTCGCCCTCCACGCTCGCCCTCCACGCTCGCCCTCCATGCTCTCCACGCTCGCCCTCCACGCTCGCCCTCCACGCTCGTCCTCCACGCTCGCCCTCCACGCTCGCCCTCCACGCTCGCTCTCCACGCTCGCCCTCCACGCTCGCTCGCTCTCCACGCTCGCTCTCCACGCCTCGCTCGCCCTCCACGCTCACCCTCCACGCTCGCTCGCTCTCCACGCTCGCTCTCCCACGCTCGCTCGCCCTCCACGCTCACCCTCCACGCTCGCTCGCTCTCCACGCTCGCTCGCTCTCCACGCTCGCCCTCCACGCTCGCCCTCCACGCTCGCCCTCCACGCTCGCCCTCCACGCTCGCCCTCCACGCTCGCCTTCCACGCTCGCCCTCCACGCTCGCCCTCCACGCTCGCCCTCCACGCTCGCCTTCCACGCTCGCTCTCCACGCTCGCTCTCCCCGCTCGCCCTCCACGCTCGCCCTCCACGCTCGCCCTCCACGCTCGCTCTCCACGCTCGCCCTCCATGCTCTCCCGCTCGCCCTCCCCGCTCGCTCTCCACGCTCGCCCTCCACGCTCGCCCTCCACGCTCGCTCTCCACGCTCGCCCTCCACGCTCGCTCTCCACGCTCGCCCTCCCACGCTCGCCCTCCACGCTCGCTCTCCACGCTCGCCCTCCACGCTCGCCCTCCACGCTCGCTCTCCACGCTCGCTCTCCACGCTCGCCCTCCACGCTCGCTCTCCACGCTCGCCCTCCACGCTCACCCTCCACGCCCTCCACGCTCGCCCTCCACGCTCGCCCTCCACGCTCGCCCTCCACGCTCGCCCTCCACGCTCGCCCTCCACGCTCGCCCTCCACGCTCGCTCTCCACGCTCGCTCTCCACGCTCGCCCTCCACGCTCGCCCTCCACGCTCGCCCTCCACGCTCGCCCTCCACGCTCGCCCCATGCTCTCCCCGCTCGCCCTCCCCGCTCGCTCTCCACGCTCGCCCTCCACGCTCGCCCTCCACGCTCGCTCTCCACGCTCGCCCTCCACGCTCGCTCTCCACGCTCGCCCTCCACGCTCGCCCTCCACGCTCGCTCTCCACGCTCGCCCTCCACGCTCGCCCTCCACGCTCGCTCTCCACGCTCGCCCTCCACGCTCGCTCTCCACGCTCGCTCTCCACGCTCGCTCTCCACGCTCGCCCTCCCCGCTCGCCCTCCCCGCTCGCTCTCCACGCTCGCTCTCCCCGCTCGCTCTCCCCGCTCGCCCTCCACGCTCGCCCTCCACGCTCGCCCTCCACGCTCGCCCTCCACGCTCGCCCTCCACGCTCGCCCTCCACGCTCGCTCTCCCCGATCACGTGGACGGTCGGCGTCGTTCTCCCGCTCGTTGGGGGGGTTTTGTTTCTCTTGTCCGAGCGCTCTTCCCCTTGCGGTCTCTCGCGGGGGGGGGGGGGGGGGGGGGGCGTCGCGTGTTACACAAACGGCCACGGTCACCCGCGACGGCTCTCAATGGAATTCCGAAGTGTGCCCAGCAGCAGCGGCGGCAGCAGCTGAGAGCGAGACAGAGATGCTGCATTCAGGATTTGACAACTGACAGCACTCAAGGGGGCACTCGGCGATGTTGAAATGTTGACTGTAGCGGCGCCGTCTCTGCCCACGCTGTCCACTCACGCTCACCTCATTCTGTAGGAATGTGCTGCTGATGGTGGTGGCGGCGGTGGTGCAGGTGATACTGTGTTGTGCAACTTTTAACTGCTGCTACTGACATGTGTGTGTGAGTATGCTGCTAAATGTGTCATAGTTTTTGTTCGCTGATGGTGATGTTAATGCTGCTGATGATGATTCTGATAGATGTGTAATAATCTTCATTCCTGCTGCTGCTGATGTTAATGCTGATGGTGTTACTGATGATGATTCCGCTAGATATGTAATACTCTACATTGCTGCTAATGATAATGATGCTGACGATGCTGACGATGCTGACAATGCTGACGATGCTGATGATGCTGCTGATCCTGATGGGTCTGATGCTGGCTGATGATGATCCATTTGATCATGATAATCCTGCCGATGAGGATGCTGGTGCAGCTGTCGATGCCGATGCCGATGATGATGGATGTGATCGTAACTATACCGCTGATGCTGGTGTGTGTGTGGGCGTGAGTCGCGTCTGCTGACAGGAACAGAGACATAACCCAAATAATATCTCTTAGGTGGAACTTGTGGGCGGTTTGTTGAATATCCCCGCACACTTGTAATCGCAGGAATTCCTCAGTGTGGGCATGCGCCCGCGTCGGTTGTTCATGTGGGCGAGTGTGTGCATGTGTTCGTGTGTGTGCATGTGTGTTAGTTTGTGTGACTGTACAAGTTTGTGTTTGTCCGTGTTATGTGAGCTTGCGAGTGTGTGCATCTGTATGACTCTGTGTATGTGCGAGCGTGTATATTTGTCAGTGCATGTGGATACACGTGAATGTGTGTGTCTAGATGTGTATGTATGTGTGTACATATGTATGCGTGTGTGTGTGTCTTTTTCTTTACAAAAGGATATACGGTTGTGTGTACAAATGTGTGTTAATATCAGCAGGAAGACAAAGGCGGCCTGGCGTGGTGCTGGCCACACCACTCCGTGGCAGCCTTAAGAGGTTTTTCGATAACACCACTTGCCCCAACAGCCTTGTGTAGGCTGCACGGGGGATCTTTGTGTGTGTGTGCGCATGTGTGTGTGTGTGTGTGCGCACAAACAGTACACGTGGATACTGACACAAACATAACTACACTCTGACTAACAAGCGCGCATTACGCTTGTTATTCTCCAGTGCGTGCAGGTAATTGTCTGTAAGCACAATAGCCGTGCGTGACTTGTGCCTCTTAGCCAATTGAAAACACACCCAACACATACACACACACACATCCACACACATACACACACACATCCACCAAAACACGACATGCACACCACAGCGCACACACATGTACGATAACATACACACGCATACATACATACATACATGTGTACACCTGCCCATGACAATACGAAGACACCCGTATCCACATACGCGCACACTTCAACTTACACACGCGCCAACCACAACACGCACGCATCCACCACATGCCAACTTAGACATGCCCATCAACGCACGCGTTTTGCACACACCCGCGACAACCCACACATCTGCACACACGCCCACACAACTCCACTCGCGCTTGTCAACAACAGTGCGCACATTATCTGTGCATTGCATTTGCAGTGGAGATCGTGACACATTAAAAACAACAACAACCGTCCTCCACCACTAAGTGGCGGTGATGTCACCACGTCGCTTTTGTCAGGCCAGGTGCATTTTGAGACCGCGTGACGTGTCAGAAGGCCCTCTGGTAGGAGGCCACGGGACAGACCCAGGTGCCATGGGTTGACTGGCTGAGATGGCTGGCAGATGCACCATCTGACGCACACACACACACTCGCACGCACACACACGTACGCAATCATAAGCTCACCAGTCATGTTTTTAGTCTTTGCACCGATTGCTGTTTGCTTCATTGCTGTGATTTTTTTTGCGTTTGTCTTTGTGGTGACCTCGGATACTCTTGCAAATGGGACTCATGTCTTGGTGTCATGAGTTCTCACCCTGGTCACACAGAATCAACCCGACTCTAATTTTTTATCACTTGCCCACCATCTCACTCACCCACCCATTCACATACTCACTATCATTCTTATCAAATGGAACTCCTATCCTGGTCTCTAGTTCTTACCCTGGTCACACAGAATCAAATGGGAACATTAACAAGGGGCGGTGGTGGTGGGGATGCTGTTGGTGGTGGTGGTGGAGCTGTTATTTATTGGTTGGGCTGTTGCGATGCTGTTGGTGTGGTTCTGGTGAATGTGTCGGTGGTGGTGATTGTTGTCGTGTTGGTGTGTCACGACGGTTGTGCAGTGTTGGTGGTGAGGGGTGCTGCTCATTGTGTCAAGGTTTACGTATGTATGTTGAACTTCTTTCACACCGTACGTTGCCAAATTGTTGATGTTGGCGGTGTTAGTGATGGTTCTGTTGGTAGGGTGCTCCTGGTAGTGCAATTATTGTTTATTGGTATGGTGTTGGTAGTGCTGATGGATGTAATTGGTATGATGTTGGTGGTGGTGTTGAGTGGTGGGTGAATGCATGATCTGGGTGAGAAAATTATTGGATAGGTGTGAGTGAGTGGTTTGATGGGTGGTGATTGGCTGGGTGAGTGGCTCACTGAGTAGCCGATTAAGCGCCTGGGATGAACGATGTCGTCGACGACGACGACAATGACGCCAATGCAAAAGTCTCGGCACTAACGATCTCGCCCCTTTCCAGCAGGACGGAACTATGCCTCACACGCTCGCACTGGCCACCATGCTCAACGGAAAATCCATCCGGCACGGCACCGCGGACGCCCCCGGGGTCCTGCGGCAACCGTCGTCTTTCCGCCGGTCCGTGGACCCCGGCACCACGCCGCTGCCGCCGACGCACCGGGACCGGCGCTCCCTAGACGGGATCCCGCGGCAGCCGCCGCTCCGGCGCGTGGCGGTCGACTCGCCCCCTGCTGCGGTAACGGTGGGAGGAGGAGGAGGGGGGGTCCTGACGGGGCAACAGGTGGTCGAGAAGCGCCCCGGCGTGGTCCGCCACCCGTCCATGAAGCGCCTGCTGGACTCGCGTGGGCTGCTCGCGATACAGAAATTCAGGCACGCGCGCGGAAAAGCCAAGGACGCCTCGCTCGGGGTCCTGCCGCAGCGGGCGGTGGAGGGACGGGGCCCTGTGGAGCCCATCATCACGGGAGGAGGACCCAGGAAGCAGCAGCAGAAAGTCAGGCACGTGGCGACGGGCAACGGGATGACCGTCCCCGTTGTAGCGGTCCCCGCCCACCCAGTGGACGTCGTGAAGACCCCCGCGGTGACATGGGGCATCCAAGGCTCCCGGGACGTGCTCCAACTGTCGACGGATGTAACGGACGGGCGAGCCGTGGATGCCCGCGTGGACTCCGAGGATCCGGCCGCTTCGACGGCGAAGTCGACGACTACGTCGGCGTCGTCGGCGGCGGCGACGACGTCGGCGTTAACGACGGCGACGGTGACGACGACGGTGACGACGTCGACGATGGCGGAAAAATTCCGACGCGAGAAGGGAAGGACGGCCGCGAGGGGGTCTTTGCGATCCATACACTGGGCAGACGGCCGTCCACAGCCAGGAGGTCTATAGACGCCTCGCTGGTGCTGATGACGCCGGCGTCGCAACCCAAGCACAGGCACGCGAGCGAGAACAGCAGGGACGCCCGCGATGGGGTCTTCGCGCACAGGTTTGACAGGCGCTCTCTGGACGACTTGGGCAGCGTGGCGCTGCAGGCCGACGGGCGACCCGCGGCGGGCGCCACGGACGCCCGCGGGTCCTTGAAGCGACGACCGAGCAGGCACTCGCGGGCAGCGGGGGAGGACAGTGATGGATGCCCCGGGGGGGTCCTGACGGCGCGCGAACCGTACAGGCACAGCAGCGTGGGCAGCCTCGGGGGCCTTGGCGGTGAGGTTTTGCAATTTAAAAAAATCTAAAATTACTCGTGAATAATGTTTTTTTTCATGTTCGGTAACATTTCCCACTGCATTAATTAGCAGTAATAACGTTACGAGCCTTGCATGAAAAGGCTTGCCATTGATCGCTGTTTTATTATTGCCAAGATTTGGGAGAAACTTTTTGATAACCATGGCCGCCTGTCCTCTGGCAGGTGAAAGATTATTTTAACGTCCGGTCGTTTTTATGAGAACCATAGATTTAGTTTGTTGTCCTTCCCCCGCACCTCCAATTAGCATGGTTGGCTACGTATGGTGCGCAAGAAGCTCAACATACGTGCTGCATACATCGTGATCCCGTGTCATGATCAACGTTTTGAGCCTTGTTGTGGGCGTGGGGTGTTGCAGATTCGGACAGGCACGCGAGCAGGAGTGAGCTGGACACCTCGGGGGAGCTGGTGTTCCAGGCTGGGGTCCTCGTGGGCGGCTACCTGCCAGCGCTCGTAGACAGACTGGTGCCGACGGGGGACTTCCCCACAGACGTGAGACATCGCCACCACCGACACCACCACCGACACCACCACCGACATCAGCACAACTGCCACCACCGACATCGGCACCACCAACATCGCCACCACTGCCACCACTAACACTGCCGACACCGCCATCACCAGCATCACGACCAACGCCATCACGAATAACATCACAAATGACATCACCACCAACATCATTGTCGCTGCCATTTTCCATATCGCCAGTAAATTTGACATCACGGACACAATCAACGACATCCCGTCACCATTGCCATCATCGACATAGAAGGCATCATCAACGTCACAAAGATAATCATTGATGTTATCATCGACATCGTCACTGTCATCATCTCCACCATGGACATTAACATCGTCACCACGACCATCATCATTGCCGTCAGCTCGTCATTTTCTCAGTCGCTCAGGAGAGTGATTTAATAGATGTCATGTGGTCATGGCTGTCTCTTACCTTGTGTTCGCCCATGTGTCCGTGTCTCCACGTATCTCCCTGTGTCTCCCCGTGTCCCTCCCGTGTCTCCCCCGTGTCCCTCCCATGTCTCCACCGTGTTCCTGCTGTGTCTCCTTGTGTCCCTCCTTGTCTCCCCTTGTCTCTCCTGTGTCTCCCCGTGTCTCCCCCGTGTCTCCCCCGTGTCTCCCCCGTGGCCCCCCGTGTCTCCCCCGTGTCCCTCCCATGTCTCCACCGTGTTCCTGCGGTGTCTCCCTGTGTCCCTCCTTGTCTCCCCTTGTCTCTCCTGTGTCCCTGTGTCTCCCCCGTGTCTCCCCGTGTCCCTCCCGTGTCCCTCCTTGTCTCCCCTCGTCTCTCCTGTGTCCCTGTGTCCCCCCCGTGTCTCCCCGTGTCTCCCCCGTGTCCCCCCGTGTCTCCCCCGTGTCTCCCCCGTGTCTCCCCCGTGTCTCCCCGGGCCCCGTAGAAGTCGCTTGCGTTCACCGTGCTGCTGTGTGGGCGTCTGTTTGCTGCGCCGCACGACCTCGCGGCGCTGCTGAGCGAGGCCAGCGACCGGCGGTGGCACTCGGAGGAGCTCGGAGACGAGGTGAGGGACGGCTCGTGCCGGCATGCGGTGCCAAGAACCCGTGCCGGTGCTGTGTACGGTGTGTGCCTGTGAGTGCATCCCTTTGTTTTTGTGTGTGCCTGTGCCTGTGTTTGTGTGCCTGTGTATATATCAAATATTGGAAGAGGTCATCCCCTGTGAGTGGCTGGCTGAGGTGCCATCTGTTGAGGAAGTACTGAAGGCGATCCGGAGTCTGAGACCAGGAAAGGCACCGGGCAGAGATGATCTCCCAAGCGAAATGCTGAGGGAGGGTGGCGTTTGTGCACAGACTGCCCTATATGACATCATAACAACAGTCTGGACCGTTGGACGGGTACCGCAGGATTGGAAGGATGCCCTGGTGGTCCCCCTTTTTAAGAAGGGGGACCGCACAGACTGTAGCAACTACAGGGGCATCTCACTCCTCAGTGTGCCGGGATAGGTCCTGGCAAGGATTATTCAACATCGCCTTGCTAGGCACGCTGAGGAGAGGCTTGCGGAACCCCAATGCGGTTTCAGGAAAGTGCGGTCCTGCACAGATGCCATATTTTCTGTCCGTCTGCTACAGCAGAGGTGTAGGGAATTCCAACAAGACCTACATCTCTGCTTTATTGACCTGGTCAAGGCCTATGATACCATCAGTAGGCCTGGGCTCTGGGTTGTTCTTCGTGCTTTCGGAGTCCCTGACCCTCTGCTCACGATCATTAAGGACCTTCGTGATGGTGAGCGGGCCCGGGTAAAACTACGTGGCTGGGAGTCGGAGCCTTTCCCTGTACACCTTGGGGTGCGACAGGGATGTCCTCTGGCTGCCACATTATTTAACATCTATTTCGACTGCGTAGTTCGTGAAGCCTTCAATAGCTGTACCGGGGGAATTTCCATTTAGTACAGATATAATGGGAGGCTGATCGACGCCCGGGTACGAACAAGGGATGGCTCCCTATTGGTCAACCACGTTATGTATGCCGATGATTTGGTAATAGCTGCTCATTCAGAAGAGGAGTTGTAGACGCTGCTGCTGAGACTGGAGCGTGGGGCCTTACCATCAGCACCACCAAAACTAAGCACCTGCCTCGGTATTGTGTACCATCGGACACTCCACCCCCACAACTCCCAATCGGTGATGGGGCAGTTGTGGAGAGAGTGGAGAGTTTCCCATACCTGGGCAGTGTGCTTATGACCGGCTCCAGTTTATCAGCAGAGGTCTCACTCCGAATCAGTCGAGCGGCAATATCTTTTCATCGGTTGCGTAACGCTGTGTGGAAGCTACCTGGTCTGTCGCTCTGCACGAAGCTTCAGGTCTTCTCAGCCACGGTCATTCCCTCCCTTCTCTACGCTTGCGAAACGTGGACCCCCCTAATGTTGCATCTTCGCCGGTTGGAAACATTTAGGCTGGTCTGCCTACGATCCATCCTGGGTTTAACCAGGCTGGATTATGTGAGTAGCTCACAAATCCTTGAAAGATCTGGACAAAGTCCCATCGGTGAGCTCCTCCAGCAGGCAAGGCTGCGTTGGCTGGGTCATGTAGCCCGCGTGCCCAGCCACTGCATGCCTAAACAGCTTTTGTTCGGCCGGATCGAGGGGGCTAAACGAGCGCGGCACGGGCTAGAGAAGAGATGGAGTTATGTGGTACAGGAGGACGTGGAGCTGAGTGGACTTGCCAATGACTGGTACCAGCGGTGTCAAGATCGGCCTCGGTGGACGAGGCTCGTGAAGGACGCTACTGGGCAGTTGGAGGCCGTCGCCCTCCAACAACAACGGAGGGCGGAGGAGCGACGCTCACAACAACGAACAGAGTGCCGGGTGACTAAAGCACAGCAAGTTGGTACAGTAGGGGGAACAGGTGGTGCATCAGCCAGTCATCTCGGTCATCTCGGTCAGTCGACCCGTGGCACCTGCTGGGTCTGCCCCGTGACCTCCTGCCAGCGAGCGTTCGACGCTTCACGTGGCCTCAGGGTGCACTTGGCCTGGCACAAGCGTCGTGGTGACGTCACCGCCACTTAGTGGCGAATGGCGGTTGTTGTTGTTGTTGTGTATGTATCCGTGTGTGTGGCCTGTGCCTGTGAGTGCATCCCTTTGTTTTTGTATGTGCCTGTGTGTGTGTGCCTTCGACACTTCACGTGGCCTCAAGGTGCACATGGCCTGGCACAGGCGTCGTGGTGACGTCACCGCCACTTAATGGCGAATGGCGGTTGTTGTTGTTGTGCCTGTGTATGTATCCGTGTGTGTGTGTGTGTGCATGTGCCCGCGTGTGTGTGTGGGGGGAGTGGTAGTGTAGCGATTGGCGTGCTGCGCTACGAACCTGGGTTCGATTCCCGCTCACGGTCAACACCGGTGACGAATATTTGAACCGGTCCTGGGCCTCCCCTAGGTCGACTCAGCCTCTAATGAGTACCTGTTGTGGTATGTAAACATTGCCACTGGGGAGACAAAGGTGGCTGGGCGTGGTGCTGGCCACCCACCCCCTTGTGTGCCATGCTGGCCTTCATAGGTGCTCGCTAACAGCACTTGCCCTAACAGTCGTCTTTGTGTGTGTGTGTGCCTGTGGGTGCAGGCTAAGCGGAGGAGGTTTGGCTGTCACATGTCCGAGCTGCTCTCCGAGTGGCGCGACACGTTCCCACGTGACTTTGAGGATCTGCGGGTCGCCCAGCTCCTCGCCGATGTCTCCCGCAGGGTCGTGGGTCATGCAGAGGTCACAGACGCTCCCACTCCCTAAACCTTAACCCTTAACCCAAACCCTTACCTCTAGCCCCTGCCACTAACCCCTCATGCTAGCCCCTAACTTTAGCCCATAGCTGGTGGGGCTGGTTTTGGCCAGCCACCTCCTCGTGTGGTGTACCAACCTTCATAGGTGCTCGCTAACAGCACTTGCCCCAACAGTCTGTTCAGCCTATAAGGCGGAACTTTGTCTTTGGTGTTGGTGGTGGTTGTGATCGTGGATGTGTTAGCGATTGTGATTGTGGTAGTGGTGTTGGTGGTTTGTGGTTCTGGTGGTGGTTGTGGTTGTGTTAGCGGTTGTGGTTCTGGTGGTGGTTTTTATCGGGGTTGGTGATTGTGGTTCTCCATCTCGGTTGCCGTGGTAGCGACCGTGCGTCTCGACCACCGTCTCTTGCTCGCAGCGGTTCCTCTGGTTCTGTTGGCGGCGCTGTGCCGCATCACTGCGGTTCTGACACCGCATCCCCCCACCGCCCGCCCCGCAGGAGGCTGACGGATTCCACGTCCCTCTCGGATGTCCCCCTGCGCCCCCCACGCCGGGCCTGCCGTGGGAGGTCCCTTCCCTTGACCGGCTCTCTCTCCACTGCATCGCTGCGCCGGATTCCGTGTCCTCAGGATCGTCGGCGTCATCGGCGGAGCCGACCGCCGCCAAGGGGGGTGCGGCGGGGGCGGCCTCGCTGGGCCTCTGTGGGACCTGGGACCTGGCGGCCACCTGCGCCGACCCCTACACCCTCGCGCAGCAGCTGACGGACATCGAGCTGGTAAGCTTTCGCTTCTGAGTTTTGCGGTTGTTTGACGTCGCGAGCTTGAGAGACAGCCGCGGCTTTAGAGGGGGGGGGAGGCCTTCATCCAGCAGTGGAGTGACCATGGCTGATGATGATGTGGTGGTAGTGGTAGTGGTTCTGATGGTGGTTGTCGTAGCAGTCGTGGTGGTGGTTGCGGTTGTGGTTCTGATTGTGGTAGTTGTGGTATCAGTCGTGGTTCTGGTGGTGGGTGGTGGTAGTACCAGTTGGGGTTTATTGGTCGAGGATAAACTAGTGGCGCAGCATAACCACCCACAGCTGCCCCATCCACATCGTTGCTTGCGAGCGCCATGCGTCACCCTCTTGTGATGTGTCACGTTCATCCCAATCGTGCGAGAATGTCGGTGTTATGTGTGTGTCCCGGGAATTCACGATTGTAATAACCAATCGCATCCACGCAAATGCGTCACGTGGCAATGAAATTGAAAAGCAGATGGACGCCTGCAACTGGTTGCACGATTTGCTCGCAAACGGTTGCGCGGGCTACTCGCAACCAGTTGCAGAGACATTCACGCATAAGAGGTTCACTTGCATGCAACGGATCGCTCAGGTGTGGACAAACGCTATCGTTTTGCAATAATGGTGTTCATACCGCAGAGTTTAAATAATACATTATATCCTGACCCTGGGATTAAAATTCTACATGGAGTCAAAATACCGCATGCTCTAACCGGCGTTAATAGGCGCTCGCTAATGGGTCGTGTCGGCTTGGGTACGCACGCAGGAGCGCATGAACGACATTGGCCCCGAGGAGTTCATGCAGGCCATCATGGCGGCCACCAGCAGCAGCAAGCAGGCGGACGGCGAGGAGGTGAGTGTGTGTGCATGTGTGCGTGAGTGTGTGTGAGTGTGTGTGAGTGCGTGTGTGTGTGTGCGTGGAGCGGTAGTGTAGTGGTTGTTGTGCTGAGAAACCGAGTTCGATTCCCACTCACGGCTAACACCGGTGACGATTATCTGAACCGGTCCTGGGCCCTCCCCTATGTCGACTCGGCCTCCAATTAATACCTGATGCGGTGTGTAAGCATCATCACGAGGGAGATAAAGGCTACCGGGCATGGTTCTTACCACCCACCCCATCGTGTGCCGTTTCGGCCTTCATAGGTGCTCGCTAACAGCACTTGCCCCTACAGTCTGTTATGGCTATACGGGGGATCTTTATCTTTGTTTGTATGCAATACCGCCGTGGATGGCATTGCACTGTGCTACGAACTAAGCTACTCGAATTCGATTCCCGCTCACGGCCAACAACACCGGTGACGGTTAATCTGAACCGGTCCTGGGCCTCCCCTAGGCTGAGAGCCGGTGAGCTGGGAGAGTCGTCAATTGGCACGTGGTTAAGCGCTGGTGCACGTGGCAGTTTCATTTGTTTTTGCTCTGTTGGGTCGTGGAGGGTTCCCACGACACAAATTTCCACATTTAGAAACAACGTCGCGCGTTTGAGTCTTCTGTCCGCTGCTATAAATGTCCACGTGATGATCCACTATATAGCTCAATGGGCCTTACCTGGTCAACAAAAATAAAAGTAGTAAAGAGTAATAGTTTATTTGGACGCGTCAGTACGTGGCCAAACGAAATCGCCCGTGAATTGTCATCGATTTCATCCAATTTTAGAAAACGCAAAAAAAAACTACAAATAAACGACCGGTTGGCGAGTAGCTGTTGTTGTTGTTTTTGTCGTGTGCGTGCGTGCGTGGGTGGGCTGCAGAATAAGGGCCCTCCCAAAGTGCAGAGCCCCCCACTGGAGGTCTACGTGGACTGGTTCAACCGCCTCACATACCTGGTGGCCACCGAGATTTGCGTGGTGGGTGTCTTACCCAGAATTCCCTCCGTGCAATTAAGTGTGTCCTCGCACGCTTACACAGGTGTGTGTGTGTGTACGTGGCACGATTGGCTACGTACGGTGCAAAAGAAGTTCAACATACATGCGTCACGGGACAGATCCAGGTGCCATGGGTTGATTGCCTGAGATGACTGAAGGCAGATGGCACCACCTGTGTACGGGGGAGCGATAGTGTAGAAGTTGCTGCTCTCCGAACCGGGCGACCGGAGTTCGATTCTCGCTCATGGCCAACACCAGTGACGATTCTATGAACCGGTCCTCGGCCTCCCCTAGGTCGACAGTGCCTCAAATGAGTACTTGGTGCGGTGTGTAAACATCGCCACGAGGCTGGGCATGGTGCTGGCTATCCACCCCCTCGTGTGCCGTGGCGTCCTTAATAGGTGCTCGCTAACAGCACTTGCCCCATTGGTCTGTAGATTACACGGGGAAACTTTGTCTTTCTGTGCTAAAAAAAAAAAACCACTTGGCAGGACCCTCCTGGAAATGAGCCGTGAGACTCGGTGAGCCTTTCCTGGGTGAACAAGCGGGATCGTAAAGATCAGAACACAAATGTCCAATACATGTCTGTATGTTTGGTGTACGTTTGCAGGCCACGTGCGCTAACAGCACTTGGCCCAGCAGGCTTGTTTCAAGGCTTTACCTGGTGGGGGGTGCTTTGTCTGTGTGCGCTCGTGCAGCCCGGCAAGAAGAAGCAGCGCGCGCGAGTGATGGAGTTCTTCATCGACGTCGCCCGCGAATGCCTCAACCTCGGGAACTTCAACTCGCTCATGGCCATCATCAGTGAGCCACTCGCACAAAACATGCCAAGATCCCCCGTGTGTAGCCCTTGCAGGCTGTCGGGGAAAGTGTTGTGAGCAGGCAGCACCCTTCGAAGGCTGACACAGAGCACCTGCTCGGGGGCGGTGTGGCCAGAACCACACCCGGCCGCCTTTGTCTCCCCATTGCTGAAGTTTTTACCCACTGCACCGGGTCATCATTTGAGGCCGAGTCGACCTACAGGAGGCCCAGGACCGGTTCAGATAATCCTCATTGGTGTTGGTGGCCGTGAGGGCAAATTGAACGCTGGTCGGTGGGCGCGTGGCGCAGCGCGCTAACCACTGCGCCACCACTCCCCAAACACGCAACAACAACAGCCGTTCGCCACTAAGGGGCGGTGACGTCACCACGACGCTTGTGCCAGGTCAGGTGCACTTGAGGCCATGCAAAGTGTCAAAGCCTCGCTAGCAGGTGACACCTCCGATTAGCACGGTCGGCTATGTACGGCGCAAAATGAGTTCAACATGAATACAGCACGGGGCAGACCCAGGTGCCATGGGGTTGACTGTCTGAGATGACTGGCAGATGTGTGCCACCTGTGCTTCCCACTGTGCCAACTTGCGCCATGCTCACACAGCCACGAAGCCATCCAATATCACGTGTCCCCCCCCCCCCCGCCGCCGTGTTGCAGCCGGGATGAACATGAGTCCTGTGGCACGACTCAAGAAGACCTGGTCCCACGTGAACACCGACAAATTCCAGATCCTTGAGGTGAGATCCCCACGTGACCCCACATGACCCCCAAGGTTTCACGTTACCGCTCGCCGTCTCTCGCCGTAACCGTGGTGACGATGTTACCGAATACCCTCCTCTTTCACCTCTTTCCCATCTGTGCATGCACGTGTGTGTGTGTTGTGCATCTGCACGCATGCGTGTGTGTGTGCGTGCTTTTGCACGTGTGTGTGTGTGTGTTTTGTGCATCTGTACATGTGTGTGTGTGTGCGTGCTTTTGCATGTGTATGTGTGTGAGGGGAACGGTGGCGTAGTGGTTAGCGCGCTGCACTACGAACTCGACGACCCGAGTTCGATTCCCGCTTACGATCAACACCATTGACGATTATCTGAACCAGTCCTGGGCCTCCCCTAGATCGACTCGGCCTTAAATGAGTACTTGGTGTGGTGTGTAAGCATTTCCACTGGGGAGACAAGGGCGGCCGGGCATGGTGTTGGCCACCCACCCCTTCGCATGCTGTGCTGGCCTTCGTAGGTGCTCGCTAACAGCACTTGCCACAAACATCTATTAAAGCTACAGGGGTGGGGGGTCTTTGTCTCTGTGTGTGCAGCACCACATGGACCCCACGAGCAACTTCTGTAATTACCGCACCGCCCTACGCGCCGCCGCTCAGCGCGCACACGCGGCACAGAGCGACCGTGAGAAGGTGAGCGAGCGAGTGTGTGGGTCAGTGGGATGAGTTAGGGTCATGTAGCTGTCTGGCCTATGGCTCCACACAAAGCTCTGGGTCTTCTCAACCACCGTTATGCCCTCCCTTCCCTATCCCTATGAAACTTGGAACCCTTTAATGGAACATCTGTGCCGGCTTAAAAGATTCCGGCTGGCTACGATCCATCCTCGGTTTAACCAGGCTGGATTACGTTTGAGGAGCTGACAAATCCTTGAGAGATCGAGACACAGTCCCTTCAATGAGCTCCTCTTGCAGGCAAGGCTGCGTTGGCTAGGTAACGTAGCCCACATGCCAGCCACCGCATGCCCAATCCGCTTCTGTTTGGCCAGATATAGGGGGCTAAATGGACACAGCACAGGCGGAAGAAGAGATGGACTGATGTGGTACAGGAGGACATTGAGCTGAGTAGAATTGCCGAAGACCTGCGCCGGTGGTGTCAAGATTGGTCTCTATGGAGGAGGCTCGTGAAAGACGCTACTTGGCATTGGAGGCAGTCACCCTCTAACAACAACGGAGGGCAAAAGAGCGACGCTCAACAACAATGAGCGGAGCGCCGGGCAGCTAAAACGTAGCAAGTTGACACAGTTGGTGCCTCTGCCAGTCATCTCAGCCAGTCATCCCATGGCACCTGGGTCTGTCCTGTGACATCCTGCCAGCAGCAAGCCTCCCACACACTTCGAGTGCACTGGGTCTGGCACAAGATCTGTGGTGACGTCACCGCCACCTGCATTTGTGCCGCACTGCCTTTCACAGGCGCTCGTTCACAGCACTTGTCGCAATAGTTTGAGTAGGCTAAGTGGGGGATCTTTGTCTGTCTTGGTTCAGATCGTGATCCCGTTCTTCAGCCTCCTCCTCAAGGATATTTACTTCCTCAACGAGTCAAGTCCCAGCATGCTGCCCAGCGGGCACCTCAATGTGGAGGTGACCAGTCCACCTCGCCACTCACCCACCCACTCGCTCACCCACCACCTCACCCAAGGTGTCACCCACCAACTCACTCACCCACTCACCCACCCACTCGCTCACCCACCACCTCACCCAAGGTGTCACCCACCCACTCACTCACCCACTCACCCACCCACTCGCTCACCCACCACCTCGCCCAAGGTGTCACCCACCAACTCACTCACCCACTCGCCCACCCACTCGCTCACCCACCACCTCACCCAAGGTGTCACCCACCCACCAATTCACTCACCCACTTGCTCACCCACCACCTCACCCAAGGTGTCACTCACCCACCCACCCACTCTCCCACCGACTCATCCATCCATCGACCCATCCATTGACTCATCTACCCACTCATCCACCCACTCGCTCACCCACCACCTCACCCAAGGTGTCACCCACCAACCCACTCACCCACTCACCCACCCACTCGCTCACCCACCACCTCACCCAAGGTGTCACCCACCCACTCACCCACCCACTCGCTCATCCACCACCTCACCCAAGGTGTCACCCACCCACCCACTCACCCACTCGCTCACCCACCACCTCACCCAAGGTGTCACCCACCCACCCACTCTCCCACCGACTCATCCATCCATCGACTCATCCATCGACTCATCCACCCACTCACCCACCCACCAACTCATTCAACTAGCCACTCACTCACTTACGCAGCCACTCATCCATTCATCCACACATTTACCTGCTTACCCGCCTGACTGTGTGGCTCTGTGGTCGACTCAGCCTCAAATGAGTACCCAGTACGATGTCTAATCATGGTGCTGGCCACCTACCCCTTCCTGTGCTATGCCGGCCTTCATAGGTGCTCGCTAACAGCACTTGCCCCAACAGTCTGTTAAAGGCTAGACGGGGATGTTTGTGATTTAAAGCTTTCATGACTGCAGGGATTCGTATTCTTGGGTCTTTCGGTAAAGTCACGTAGAAGGGAAATAATAAAATAATAAAAATATTAAACAATTAAAATTTTCACGACGTTTCGACTGCAACACAAGCAATCATCATCAGGTGTGGAATCCACAGCAATAACTTTTTGGGATTTCACACCTGATGATGATTGCTTGTTGCAGTCGAAACGTCGTGAGAATTTTAATTGTTTTATATTTTTATTATTTTATTATTTCCCTTCTACATGACTATACCGTAAGAACCAAGAATGTGGGGATGTTTGTGTTTGTTGCATGTCTGTGTGTGGAACTGGGATGATTTGCAATGACCATGTCCACTTGACCTGTGGAACTGCTCATGTAAAGACACTCCTCCCCTCATCCTCTCACCTCGTATCTCCCCCTCCTCTCCACTGCCCTCTCCTGCCCGCCCGTGGTGTGGTGGTTGAGTAGAAGCTGCAGGAGCTGACGAGGCAGGTACGCGAGTTCGTGACGTGGCGACGCGCGCGCTGCCCGTACCCGTCCGTGCCCAGCGTGCGGGACTACCTGCAGCACGCGCCCGTCTACCACAGCGAGGAGGGTGAGCCACTCGCCCACCCGCCTGCTCACCCACTCGCTCACTCGCCCGTTCACCCACTCGCTCATCCACCCGCTCGCCCGCTCACACACTCGCTCACTCGCCCGTTCATCCACTCGCTCATCCACCCGCTCACACACTCGCTTGCTCACTCGCCCGTTCACCCACTCGCTCATCCACCCGCTCGCCCGCTCACACACTCGCTTCCTCACCCGCTCACTCATCCACTCACTCGCTCACGACCTCCAGCGCAAACCCGTTCAGAATGTGCTGTGTTTTGAGCTCCATGTATGATATGTCATGCTCACCGTGTGTCGTCATGTGTATGTGTGTGCGCGCGCATGTGGGTTGTGTGCCTGTGTGTCATAACCATTGTCTTTGTTCCTCTGCTTTGTGTGTGTCGTGCGTGTGTGTGTGCGCTGTGCGTCGTGCGTGTGCGCTTGCGTCGACACGGCGTGCATTGCACCCCCAGCTCTGCAGGTGGCGTCGTACGAGAGCGAGAGTCCCGAGAACCAGACGGAGAAAGAACGACTCAAATCCCTCCGGTGCGTATGGCTCTCCTCGTTCACACTCGCACACTCACGCACTCATACTCACACTCTTGTACTCCCACTCGTACACGCCCACACACTCATACTCACAAACACTCCCACACACTTGCACACACACACTCGTACTCGCACACAAAGACAAAGATCCCCCGTATAGCCTATAACAGACTGTTGTGGCAGGTGCTGTCAGCGAGCACCTATGAAGGCCAGAACGGCACACGCCCGGCCACCTTTGTCTCCCCAGTGGCGATGTTTACACACTATACAAGGTACTCATTTGAAGCTGAGTAGACCTAGAGGGGAGGCCCAGGACAGGTTCAGATAATCGTGACTGATTTTGGCCGTGAGCGGGAATCGAACTCTGGTCACCAGGTTCGTAGCGCAGCGCGCTAAACACTGCACAACCGCTCCCCACTCGCACACACACACTCACACACATACACTCGTACATACACTCGTACACACACTCGTCCTCACACTCATACTCGCACACACTCTCACACACTTACACTCGCACACATACACTCGTACACACTCGTTCTCACACTCATACTCGCACACACTCTCACACACATACACACTCTCACACACATACACACGCACACATACACTCGTACACACACTCGTCCTCATACTCGCACACTCACACTCATGCACTAGTACACTCGTATTCACACGTTCATACGCGCACTCGTACTCACACTCGCGTACGCGGGCGATGATTCAGTCATCATCTCGTGTTGCTCCAAGGCCCGGTTCCGATGATGCCATGAGCCCTGTCCTAGTGAACACCCTGATAAGGGAGCCAACTCCCTCCCGGCTCCCCAAGTGGGTCCTTCTCACGACGTGGCTCCTGCATTTCACGCGTTGTTTACTTTTCCATTTCACGAGCGTGTTCCTGTCGAGCGATTAGGGGTGATGGTTTCTGGAGAGGCACTAGAAGAGCCTCGCGCTGTTGACTGACGCGACGTCGCTTCCGAGTCTCCCCGCTTTGTCGTGGGGAGACAAAGTGGGACGGCCGTCGCCACACCACCACCGTGGATGCTGCTACTGTACTTGCTAATGGCGCTTGCCACAACTGTCTGCGTAACTATACGGTGGCGGGGGGCTTTGTCTTTGTGCCGACACAGGTCCATGCTGACGTAAAGACGCGAGGATTTCACCGTCGGCTCGGGAGGAGCCCTCGCAGCAACGCCGGTGGCGCGCACCGCAGCCAACCCCGTGCCACCACTGCACCACCGCGTGCGTGCGTGTAATCGTGTGTGTTTGTAGGGAGTGGTGGCGCAGCGGTTAATGTGCACTGCTTGATGGACCCATCTACGAACCGAGTTCGATTCACGCTCGCGGCCACCAACATCGCTGATGAATATCCGACCTGGTCCTGGGCCCTCCCCTAGGTTAACTCGGCCCTAAATGAGAACCTGGTGCTTTCTAACAGCACTTGCCCCAACAGACTGTTGAAGTGTATATGGGGGGGGGGGGGGGGGCTTTGTCTTTGCGTATAGGCAAGTAGTTGGCACAGTGTCCTATCAACCCAAAGGCCTCGGTTTGGTCCCAGGCCGCCTGGCTTGTGCGACCCTTCGCTCGACTTTGCCTAAAATGATTCTGCCTGCAGTAGCGTTCCGACGTCGGCGGTGGGGGGAGGCGATGGCGGTCAGGGTGCGTGTGTGTCGCGTGTAATGTGCCACGTCAGCCTTAATGGGTGCTCACTAATTGGGCAACCTGCAAAACAGTGTCCAGGCTTTGAAGGGGGGTCTCTGCATTGCCGTGTGTGGGCGGTGGGTGCATGTGCACGCGTGTATGCGTGAGTGTGAGTTTTTGCGAGTGTGTGTGTGTAGTTGTGTGTGAATATGATGGCTCCTACAGTCTGTTCAGCTATGGCGGGGGGGGGGAATGTTTGCCTTTGGATGTGTAATGCTATGCGCATTATTGCATACGTTTGTATGGGTGTGTATGAGTGAGTATTTAGGTGTATGTGTTATGTATGGATGTCTTTGTATGAGTGTATATGATTGTGGTGTTTTTGTATAGATGCAAGTGTGTATGAGTGCACGTGTGTGTTTGATTGTGTGTAGGTGTGCACGTGTTTTATATCATGAGTATGAGTGTGTATAAGCGCATGTTTGTATAGGTGTGTGTGTGAGTGCGTGTGTAGGTGTGTGTGTTTGTATGAGCGTGTGTTTGTGTAGGTGTGAGTGTGGATAGGGGGTGTGTGTGTGTATGAGTGCGTGTGTTTGCGTAGTTGTGAGTGTATATAGGTGTGTGTGAGTGCGTGTGTATAGGTGTGTGTGTGTGTATGTGTGTAGGTGTGAGGGTGTATAGGTGTGTGTGTGTATGAGTGCGTGTGTTTGTGTAGGTGTGAGTGTGTATAGGTGTGTGTGTATGAGTGTGTGTATAGGTGTGTGTGTATGAGTGTGTGTGTAGGTGTGAGTGTATAGGTGTGTGTGTATGAGTGCATGTGTTTGTGTAGGTGTGAGTGTATATAGGTGTGTGTGTGTGTATGAGTGCGTGTGTGTGTAGGTGTGAGTGTGTATAGGTGTGTGTGAGTGTGTGTGCTGGGCAGGAACGGCGCTCTATTTTATAACGAGAGGGTGGAAACAAGCAAAAATATTCTTTTTAAAAGAACATTTCCCAAAAAAAAATTCAGAAAACGGACGACGCGTGTAAATGTACCGGTAGATTTTTATTTCTGTAAGATAACACGAAACTGGAACGATGGTCGAGAAATGGCAGCTTTCACGATGAATTGCGAGACAACCATTGAGTTTGTTAGTTTGTACTTTATGCTGTAATTACTACTGTCACCGATGGGAGGGGGAGGGGGGGGTCCTGACAATCCTGATGTGTGGGCAGGCAGACCGAGCGAGCAAGGCGGTGTGGCTATGCCGTGAGGGGTGTGGCCAGAGGCTTGGTAGACACGCCCTCTATTGTGCAGCAGCTCTTCGCTCAGATGTGGACAAAGCAGTCGCGGCAGGAGGCGATTTTTAATTTGCGCGATTTTTGGGGTGTCGGATCTGCTCCCGCGACTGCTCGCTCGGATGTGGACCCGGGTATGGGGTTGGGGGGGCCCTTATAAGCCCACCCAGACGGGCCCCCCACTCCTCAACGGGAACCTCGCCCCCCCCCCCCCATGACTGTACCGCCCAGCGGGGCGGAACTGTTTACATTATCCGCACGCGTCAGAGCATTGGTGTCGGTGTGAGATGGCGTTTTGACCCCCACGTCATGTTGACCACCGGGATCGCAATACGATGTATTATTTAACCCCCTTCCCCCCCCCCCAGTCAGTTTGTGCCATTCGAGCTTTAATAATGTAATGTTGAGAATTTGCGAGTGCGGGGGAGATGGGATGGAGCCCAATTTCTATCATTTGTAACCGAGACTTCGATATATGTTGAACTTTTTTTCTCGCTGTACGTACCCAAACGTGCTAATCGTAGGTGCGGGGGAAGGACAACAAACTAAACACAACAAGCTGTTCTAAAGAAATTAGTTTTCAAAAAAAATGGGAAAGTGTTCTGTTACCTCCCCGCGGGGTCCTCCTGATTTCTTTAGCGTCAAAATCCCATCTCACACCTGTGCTAGGTAGGGTTGCCGTGGTATTGCAATGCGTGCCTGCGTTTGAATTATCTTGGCAAACAATGCGTTACTTGCCCACACTAAATACGGACGTGAAAAGACGACAGTTAAAGTGTGAGATGAATAGCTATTGCCCATGGTCAAATTAGTGATTTGCCAAACATCTTTCGGAGTAATTGGGGTTATTGGCGGCGAAGTGGTGTCGCTGTTTTGGCTAATTTAGTTATTTCGTTGTACCGAGTTTGACAGCTGTGAGCGCTACGGATCGTAAGAGTGGCAATCATTATTATGAGACGCGTGGCGAGGCGAGCGAGCTGCAATTGAAGAACTCTTCAGTAAACCTTTATTCGTACTTGTTCAGCAAAAATTTTTGTAAAAGCTTTTTTAAAAACACGCTTTAATTAAATGAACCGTACTAGTAATGGAATAACTCCACGACTCCACGAAGTGGCCCCGAGGCTTGCCATAACGTAAGGGGCCGTGGTGATTTACAGCCAACGTTAGTTGAGCGTGGACAATTAGACCCAAGGTGAAACATAACATATAAAAAGATTGTTAAAATATGTTTTATGATAGAATATAGTATTGTCATCAGTATGCCATACGTATACCAAGTTTGCAGTCGATACCACATTGGGAAGTGGGTTCAAATGGAGTTACAATATTTGAGGATACGACAACAACAACAGACAGAGTGAGTTAATAGAAAGTGTGTAATAACAAAGACAAGAACGCAAAATACACTTATAGATTCATGGCTAATTGATCACAAACACCATCGTCGTGACGACATTGTACGTATGGTGTAAGCGGATATCAAGGCAACCCTCGTTGACACCTGAATTTTTACAGTTTTTTCTCACTTGCTGTTTTTCGATACGTGTGTATGTGCGTGTGGGGAGCAGTGGCACAGTGGTTAGCGCACTGCGCTACAAACCCCAGCGATCCGAGTTCGATTCCTACTCGAAGTCAATACCAGTGGGCAAGTAATATCAGAGCCAGTCCTGGGTCCTTCCCTAGGTCAGCTTGTCCTTAAAATGAGTACCCAATGCAGAGGGTGTGTTTAAACATCAGCACTGGGTAGACAAAGGTGGCCAGGCAGAGTGTTAAGCCACACCATCATCCCCTTGTGCGCTAACAGCACTTGCCCCAACAGCCTGTGGAGGCTAATTGGGGGGTCGTTGTGTGTGCGTGTCTGTGTGTACGAGTCTCAGGTACATCATGGTACTGATAAAACTTCACACCCAACACGTGTTTGTGCAGCGTGGCTCGTAATTGGCGTGTGTGAGTTAAGTACTTGCCTACATGGCGGAGCGGTAGTGGAGTGGTCAGCCCACTGCACTATCAGTGACCCAAGTTTGATTACTGCTCGATGTCAACACCAGTGATAATTATCTGAACTGGTCGACTCGGCCTCAAATGAGTACCTGGTGTGGTGTGTAAACATCAGCATTTTGGAGACAAAGGCGTGGTGTTTGCCACCCCCACCCCCTCGTGTGCCGTGCCAGTACTACTGGTTAACAGTACTGTTGAAGACCATTTGCTTTTTTCCCATACGAATGCACTCTTGACCCAGTATTTAAAGCTAAAGTTCGGTGTGCGTCTCATAGTGCTGCGAACATGATTCGTTTTAATATAGTTCAGAATAATCTTCCAGTAGACAACCCTCTCTCCCAGTTTTAAAGCAACGCGTTCGGTAATCATCACCTGGAAGACGACGCTATATACCCGTTCCATATTCCGGTGATAAAAAAATCTTTTTTTACAAAATGACCCCAAAGTATAGGGTGCATCTGCATGGCGCGTCTTTTATAATTGGGAGTACACGGCAACCAGGGCGCCCGCCGGGCTCAAACTCCGAGCGTCTTCAATAAGCGGCCAACGCTGTCCTGCAGGGCCTCCGTGTCGCCCCCAAGCGGAGGTCCTGCTGCTGAGGGTTCCTGCTGGCAAAGCCCCCAAGCGAGCAGCCCCCTCTCCAAGGTCTGCTGTGGCCGACTCCTCGCCAAATTCTCTTCCGCCCCCAAGGTCCTCGAGCACGGGGAACCCGTTGGGCAGAGTCGGAGGGGGGCAAGCGAGGAGCCACGCTCCCAAAGCCTCGTCGTCCGCATTGCCGTAGCACCCAGGAGGCACTAAGCCGCCTCTTGGGTTTCCTGCAGCGAGCAGAACTGCAGTTTGGCAAAACCACCCGATCGTCATCCTCTCGGTGGACACACAGGCGACACATGAGGCTCCCTAGGCCCACAGGCATCTCGCATGGGTCTCACCGGGGACACACGTAGGCCAGGAGGAGCTTGATCTCGCTGTGGATGATGACGGGATCGGGGTGCAAGTTGTCGGGGTAGCGGTGGGCCGCCGTCATTTCCCAGGCGTCCAAGATCACCACGGGCAACCCCGCCATGAGACGGCGCATGACGCGGTCCAGTTGAAGAGCGAGCCAATCGGACTGGTAGACCGAGTGGTAGCTGGTGTTGGCCGACTTGAAGACGACCAGCGTCCCGGGGGCTCGCTTCAGCAGGCGGACGACCGCGGCGCGAATGCCGCGCATGCGAGCGATGTAGAGAGACACTGGGAACCCCGTGAAGTGAGCCCACACGCTGATCCCCACCACCGTGTCCTTCCCGCCTGGGGTTGGGAGGGAGCGGTAGTACACAGGCATGGACACAGGGACGTGAGGACACAGGGACGTGAGGACACCAGGACAAGCACAGCAATGAGGACTCTTGAGTGTTTCGCAGGTGTTGGTTTTACTGGTAGGAACCTCCTGGTTGCACCAGCCCACAGGGGATTATTGTGTCCGCCCGTCGTGCATCCAAAAATGAGAGGGGTGGGGCTGGGTGGAGAGGGGAGGGTGGGGATGGGCTGGTCACCCCGTGGTGCCCTTATAAAACTCAAAGTTTAACCTACTCACGCCGGCTTGTGCCCGCCCTCACAGTCGGCCATATTTGCGGAATACACCACGCCGCCGTTGACCCTGGCCATTGACCCGAGCAACCCAACGTTCCTACCAGCTCCTTTCGCAGGAATGTGTTAACAACGGCGTGGCTGTTTAAGAACTGGGACAGGATCTGATGAACCACAAAAACCTGGATTTTACACTTCCGTGGAATGGTTGCATCTTGGCGGCAGTGTCACGATAATTATAATAATTTACTTTTATATCGCCTCATACAAATCATATCTCAAAACGTTTTTCACACGCATACAGTTTTTAACACAATGAGGTATGGGAAACCCAGACAAGCAGGAAGGCAGCCCAAGTCGGTGCTAACGATTGCCCAAGCTCTGCGATCTTGCATTGGGATGTTTCGGCACGTCTAGTGCCGTCGCCAGGCAGAAACGTGTCAACACCAGCGGAGGGTTTGTGAACGAGGCACCACGAGATGTCGTTCGTGCAGCACGCCGCGAAGTGTCAGAGGGGGGCATCCTGACCGACGAGGCCGTCGATCTCGTTGGCGGCGTAGTGCAGGGCCGCGAAGGGCCGCTTGGCCGTGAGGAAGGGCGGGCCGTGCGTGCGGTACAGCACGAAGGTCTTCGCTGCGCCCACGTTGGCCGCGATGAGGGGGCCGAGGTGCGTCGAGCCGATGTCGATGAGCTGCATGTCTGGGGAGCAGGGAGAGGTCACGGCGTCGTGAGTCGTGAGTATGTTTTTAAACGGTGTTGTGCGTATTGTGTATGAAATTGTTGTCCACTTGTATAGTTAAGACTAACGAGCAACCCGTGGATGTCTAGATTTGAAGCTTTCGTGACTGCAAGGATTCATACTCTTAGTTCTTTTGGTAAAGTCACGTAGGTAAAAAATGAAATTAAAATTAAAAAATGAAATTAAAATAAATTTTAATTTCATTTTTTACCTACGTGACTTTACGGAAAGAACTAAGAGTATGAACCAGTGGATGTGCCATGGACTGGAAACACTACTTCTTACCAAGGCTCAAAACCTATTTGCGCAGACGCATGGGAAACCATTAATGAGAGCGTATACACGTGGGAGGAAACTTACACATGCAAAGGGGGGGGGGGGGGGTTGTAACACACAATCTCCGTACAGATGGAAATTAATCTGCTTGCTGTACCGCAGTAACCATAGCAAGCCAGAAGATGGCGCCCTTGCCACCAACGGTGTGCAGGAGGGAGTTTCACAAATCCTTGGTTCACTCATCGTTATGATCCCGATCCCCACCCTCGACTCCACAGTGCTGGAAAACCGATTGTCCATGGCACCCACCCGGCACATGGGTGGAGATGTGTTCGAACCACTGTCGAATGGTGGAGTCTCCAAACAGGTAGAGCCTCTTTCTGCGCAGGCACTTTGCCAGGTCTTGAGGGGCAGGGAAGGGCCGCGCCCTGCATGCCAGCGACACCCACTCCTCGTTGAGGTAGTAGCCGCTTGGGGAGGGCACGGGGTGGCCTGGCACGCATGGCCCAAGGCTGGCCTCTGGGATATACGCGCACATGCACATACGCACTTAGTGAACACCCAATGAGTGGAGGATATACCTGCATAGTGAGATGAGACAACACCATCACAAACGTTTTACCACGGCCGATGTGCATTCAGCACTTCAACAACTGAAACCTGGAAAAGCTCCTGGTCTCGACAACATATCCCCTGAACGACTGAAACACCTTGGATCCCACGCACAAGATTGGCTAAGAAGTTTCTTCACCAGAATTGTGTCTCAATGCCGGCTGCCCAAAATTTGGAGACGGGTCAAAGTGATCGCCATCTTAAAGACAGGGAAGGACCCGAATGTCACGGGTAGGTACGAGCCCATCTCCCTTCTGAGTGTGTATCTAAAACTCTTGAAGCATCTGGTGCTAGGACGCATCTCACCTACTGGCAACAACATTTTGAGCTTTGACCAGGCTGGTTTCCGCCAGGGCCGAAGCACTTGTAACCAGGCCCTGGCAACTGACAATGTTGAAAATCGCTTTCAGCGACATCTGAAAACAGGTGCAGTATTCGTGGATCTCACGGCAGCTTATGATACATTCTGGAACACGGGACTTCTGTTATTAAAGCTGTCGCTAGTCCTGCCGCACTCAGCAGTGAACCCCATCGAGTTCCTCAAAGATCGTGGCTTCCGAGTGCACATGGAACAACAAAGCTCCTTGCAGATGCAAAATAATGAACTGCCTCGGGTGTTCGTTCATGCCTCTCGTTTTACACGGAGGTTGTGTTCGTGAAAAACGGCTTAACTGCGTAAATATTACGTAATTTTCCTCTAATAAACAAATGAACATTTTCATTTGGACTTAACTTTCGTGCCTGCAGTCATTCATATTCTATGTTAATGTCTGAACCCTCTCCTACATGAATATTAGCTGTCCCCGCCCATCTCTACACCTTTTATAAACAGCCTGCCCTCGGAGGATAACCTCCCTCTTCCTGATGACGACCGCTTGTGTTGCGATCGAAACGTCGGAGATATTTTTATTCACTTTATTTTTATTTTCTTTTTATTATTTTTCCTATCTACTGCCTTCACAGAAAAAACCATAGAATAGAAAAATGAAAATTTGTCGGGGAGATCACGCTATCGAACCTCATCATGTCTGCATATTTCACTGGTTACGGTACATATAGTTACACTACTACCATACATGTAAATTTAGATTTAAAGCTTTCAGACGCTGTCTTTCCGACAGACCTGTTCTTCACCTGAGGACGGCTGCTTGCGTTGTGGCCGAAACGTCGTGAGAATTGTATTTTATTATGTTTTATTTTTATTATTTTATTATTTCCCTTCTACGTGACTTTACCGAAAGAACCAAGAAGATACCATACATGTATTCAAGCTAGTAACAGCGTGTTTTTTTAAAGTGTTTTTTTTTAACACGAGGTGAGACGCTTACCGGACATTGGTAGACAAATCTGTCCAGAAAACAAAGTTCATGCGGACAAGATCTTGAAAATGGCACGCGAGAAGAAGATACTGATGCTGCCCGTGCTTGTGGTCGTCATGCTGCACCTCGGGCACTGCTACTGCACCTTGCTGCCTAACCACGATTAGCTCGCAGCGCATTCCGTACGCGTTATTGCAATGACAGTGCTTGCATAACAAAAACAAGTACATTAACGCACTATTTCAAGAATGTCTTGCGTAAACGCGTGTAAGGAGCCGTCCATAAATGACGTCACGCGATTTTGGACTATTTTCGACCCCCCCCCCCCCCTCAAATGTAATGTCACAAAGCTCTGCCCCCCCCCCAAATAAAACATGCTTCAAATCGCTTTAAACTATTGTCATTTAGTGCGTATTTAATGTGCCGCTGCACTCTGATGTTGTATGACAAACCATTTATTAAAACGTCTTTAATTAAGTAGAACGTGTTTATATTTATTTAATGTTGCGCATGTTGATGTGACGTCACATTTCTCAACCCCCCCCCCCTCGTCACACACCGTCACAAATGTCTGACCCCCCCCCCCCCTAGGCGCGTGACGTCATTTATGGACGGCCCCTAAAGCGTGAAGCAACTGTACTCTTCAACATTTACATCAACGACCTCGCTACGAGGAAGTCACGACGACGATTTGTCTACGCAGATGACATCTGCATCACAACCCAAGACGATGACTTTGGCGTCCTGGAATATACCCTGAACAGTGACTTAACGATGGCATAGCAGACTACTGCAGCAGATGGCAATTCCAGCAAAGCATAAGCAAGACGATTTGCAGTGTGTTTCACCTGCACTATGCCAGCGCAGCTGATCAAACACGACCCAAAGTTGGTGAGCATTGGGAGTGATGTTGGTTGGACAGGAGTCTGACGTACCGTACATATGAAACTCTCTGCTGACCCGGCTGGCTGGCTGGCTCAGCGTGGGGTGCCTGGTCACTACGTACGGTGGGCCTCTCCATCTCTGTAGCAGACTCCTGACCCTCAGCTGAATGTCATCATGAGAACCATATCCAGTGCAGTGGAGATAATCCCACTACGGTGGCTTCGTTTATTTTACAACATCCCTCCGCCAATAAGTCACTGCCAAACTGCGGTCGTCAAGATGCTGGACAAGGGTACATACAGCGTCAGCGTTGCCCCTTCATATCGATATCGTCAAGTCACCACCCGTGCACCTGAAGTCCCGATACCCTGTGTGGGCATCACTGCAGCCCGAATATATTAGTATGTGGGATAGCCGCACTGCCTGGGACGAGGAATGGAGATTCGTGGATATGCCTAACAAGGACCTGACCAGTGATCGGTCTGTCCAGATGCCTGGCTTTGATCTTCCAAGGCACCAGTGGGTCCAGCTGAACCAGGGGATGTGTGCTGCCTACAAACATCGATTGGGCATACGTGACAGCCCGCTGTATGAATGAGGGAGGAGATCATGGCGCACATCATCTCTGGCTGCGTAGTGCGTCAGGAGGTGCCGGGTGTGCTGAGCGGACTGGCTGCCCTGCACTTGCCAGAGGAACAGGCTGTCACGTGGCTCTGTGGCTGCGTGGGCTGACGTCCACACACAGAACATTGACATATATTAATTGAATTTATTCACCATCTAATTTTCTTGTTTATCTGGTGCTCTGTGTGAAAGTCACGCGTAAAACGGAACTTATAGCATTGCTACAATACCATTATTGTGATTTCAAGGGTAGAGGCATTTCTGTTCTAAGTGGGAGGTTAACGAACAACGTTAAGGCTCTAAAATGGCGCCATCAGTTTGAACACAACGTGATGGATGTCGCAAGTAGAACATCGAAAGATGCCAACATTCGTCTCCACAGGCCACGGTGAGACTAGGAGATGCCAGTGGCAGCACCAGGAGTGGGGAGGGAGACTCAGCCACCTGTGCTCCACAGCCCTACTTTGGCTATTGATCCATTTTCCCTTCCGAAATGTCTTAACATACAACAACTGTATGTTCCCCGAGGAACCGATATTATGTGAGCGAGAGTGACGCTCTCATTATGATCAACCTATTATTATAATTTGAAATCCGTTTTCTCTTACAACATTTATGATCTTAGCTTGCCAGATCTACGAGAAATGTCAAGAGCATTTTCTGTGCTCACAACCCAGGTGATGTGAAGTGGAATGATTTGGTCATGTGGTCATCACACTTTTTTATCGAAAATATATTGATCATGAGCTAAGAGAGCCCTGGGTCGGGCGTCGAGGGACCAAAGCGGTGAGCACTCAGCACTCACCGAGGTCGCGTGGTGATGGGGATGGCAGCACCTCGATCTGGCTCGGATCTCCACCGATGGTCACTTTGGAGATTGTGCTGCATCACCAGGATCAATGCGCAATAGATAAGGTATTCCAACGGTTATAATGCAATTTTGGGGTGCTGATTCCAAATCTGGCATCAGTTTTTGTCTATCACATCAGGTTTTTGAGATATCAAATATTGCATTTTCAATAAAAACTGCAGAAGAAAAATATTAAATAAATGTGTATATCTACATAACATGATATTATCCTAAAAATACAGCACTATATTTTAACACTAAAGCAGTCACTGACTCGCAACAACTTGCAATCATAAGTGACAGAGTTAATTTCGGGTAAAATCAATGAAAATTGGGTATGCTGATAGCATAAAATGAGATGTGATAGAGCAAATCTGAGATCAGATTTGGAATCAGCACCCTGAAATTAGTCTAAAACAGCTGCAAAAGTCCAGGCCAGAATTTTTGTTTTGTTGACCAGTGTAATCATAGAATGAACAAGGTGTGGATGAGGTGGAGGGAACGGAATGGAGTGTTGTGCAATAACAATATGCAAAATATTCCTAAATGTAATGGCATACAGGGTGGTGGTTAGGTCAGTGGACATGTGCGGCTTTGAGATAGTAGCATCTGTTATTTAACCAGGAAATGAAATACTTGCCTGTTGAGACATGACACATTGCCTCTTTTGAAAGGGCAACGTCGGTTACATCAAGGTGTTGTGAACATGGGTTCCTAAACCTCCCCAACTCGCAATGCACCTGAGAAGCCAGATCATTTTCGGGAATCCATGCCCAGTGAGACTGTGACAAATTGTGGCGTCCGGTTACTTCTAAGTCAGAGGCGAAACAAATCATTGCCAATAAATATTTTAGAAGTCATGTTAACAACAAAGGGGTCAGAGGAGCCTACCTATGTATGGAGGTATTAGATTTCAGGTCACAAGGTGATGCAGCTCAGGCACGGATACGTACACAGAGACACTGATATTGACACACAGAAAGACAAAAGAGTGGCGGCATACAGTCACGGATATGGAGACCCGATTATAAATAAGTAAATAAGGTGAACTGACTTTAACATAAAATATGTATGAGGAATAATGTGTAACTTTTGGAAAGAAAAGTGACGATACAAGGCAAGACGAGGCAATGGAGAAGATTGTCCGACAATGTATACAAATTGGCTAAAGGCAGCAGGAAAATATCAACACAAACACAGCTTAATCGAATAGTTTTTTGTCAACCCTATTAATCAGCTTTGGCCGTTGGGCAGGCTGCTTACTTGCTGAACAACCGCTCCTCCTGATTGGTGAGAACTTTCCTGCGGCCCCCATCAGAGTGGAAGCGCAGGGAGTCACAGGGCAGCGTGGTGGGCATCGCACAGAACCACGCGTGTCCCGTGGCCGCGTCCCTGTACTCGCACGTCCCGCCCTTTGCCAGGAAGAGCGGGACCGCGTTGCACTCGGTGGCCTTGCCTCTCGCGCCTTCCTTCTCGAAGTAGCCGGTAAAGAAGATCTTGTTGGGCACCGAGTCGCGCAGGCGGCTCATGATGTGCACGGCCTCGCTCGAGTGAACCAGCTTGACGTCCACGTGGGCCTCGCCTGGCCACGGCAGCACGACGCTCGCCGTGTACGAGCCATTGTCGTGGTCCAGCACCGAGCCGAATACTCCCGCCCGGAGCTTCTCTGAGTAGACTTTGAAGCGAAAGTAGTCTCCGCCGTGCCGCTTGTCCCTGCCGTGGTGGTCCCGGGCCTGCACGGCGAGGTGCAGCGTGTCACCCACCGTGAAGTTGCATGTCCCACCCAGCAGCCGGTAGCTCGTGGCTGCGGGGCTGGTGGACGACTCGAAGTCGAACGAGGATGTGGAGGGCGGGTTAGGCCACCGGAGGAGTTGCTTCAGATCGTCCATCTCGGGGTCACGTTGTTCTGGGGTGGAATTTCTGGGGCCTGGTTCGGGCTTCCCATGGCAGGGAGGCTTTTGCGGGAGAGGGAGGATGAGGGACACCTGGGGAGGCACAGAGAGCAAGTGGAGAATAGAGGAAACTCAGACATTGGGCCACTCAACCTGGGAGGGCAGTAAACCAAGATGATAATATCATGGCAGATTGAGGCGTGGCCCTTCGAGCTTCCTGGTTCTCCTTGACCTGCTGCTGGGTTTCCCGTGTGAGTACGGCTGTCACCTGTCCAGGTTTTCCCGAGGATACCTCTTGCTGAGGTAGTTAAGGATTAGGTTTTGGTAGCAGCAACACTCAGCACCAAGGGGGGATGAGATTAGAAGGTGGTGAGATGGTATCGTCATCGCCTAGTATACAGGTCATGGGTTTGATCCCGACGCTGGCGCCTGCATGTTTGGAGTTTGCACGTTCTCCCCGTGGTCGATTTTTCTCCAGGTCCTCCAGTTTTAACCTCCACATAGAAACATGCTTTTAGATTATTTGGCTGCTAGAAATCTCCCACGTGATAATACACTTCCTTGAACAATAATTTGTGGCCAGGTTGGTTCTGAAAAAAAGCTAATAGCTCAGTGGACTTTACCTGCTAAATAACATAGTATTAGATTAGGTGAGGAATAGGAAACAGGTGCCGCCAAATGTCGGGATGTTGTATGCCAGAAGCAGATAATATAATAGCTCAAACGGTGAAACAATCACCACATTCTGCACGTATTAACTCACAGGGTCTGATAGGGTCAAAACAGTCACCTAAAAATCAAATATGGCTGACATTTCTCCTAGATGACCACCATTTTTCTTTGTTGATACCTTGAGCAGAGGCGTCAAGTCTTATTTATCTTAGTGTCTATATGTATTTGCTGTGATCTAATTAAAAACCAAATTTGAATAATTTTTTAATTATAAACAAAATCCAAGATGGACTTCATCTTAGGCCAGATGTGTTTTCACTCATTTATACACCTATTGATCTACAAAACAGATTAGCTACATTTCAGCTAGTCTTGGCATGCACAGGGGCGATGTATCCAGTGTGCCCTAAAAGTGCATCGGCATTAACTTTTCTTCACTTATTCTTATGAGATCGTAATCAAGTGATGCATTTTAACCAATGTATTGGCTGAAAATCGGCTTTAAAAACACATTGGTATTAGCATGTATGCCACCGATGTTTTATACACACACTGTATAAAGAACCAAACAAAGATTTTTTTTCTATAAATGTATATTTGCTAATTGATATTTGCTAAAGGATCCAATCGTGAGGCGGAGCAGCTGAGGCGTGCACTTCAGTTGTGAGCACATTCAGGTACATGCAATGCTAGCAGTGCGTGACCCATTATTACCTCGAAACAGCAACAGCTTTCCTCGACCTCTCTTTAGCTTACGATACCGTATGGCGAAAGGGACTCCTGCTGAAGCTTGCGAAAGCCGTGCCTTGCCGCCCGACAATTAGACTAATCACCGAAATTATGATCAACCAATGGTTCACCGTCCATCTTGGTGAAGCTGCCAGCAGCACACGAGTGTCGTCTCCGCCTGCCACCTGAACAACAGACAAGCCTCGAAAACGTTTCACTTTAACTTCTACGGGGAGAAGCTAAGGCATGATGAACACCCTCGGGATCTAAGATTTACCCTGGATCGGACGATTAGCTACCATCACCACCTCAAACAAGCTAAAGGTAAAACGAAAGCACGAGTGAATATTATTCAGAAACTTGCAGGAACAGCCTGGGGAAGTGATGCCAGCACGTTGAAGATATCGACGCAGGCCCTTGTTCACTCCGCTGCGGAGTACCGTGCCCCTGTGTGGGGTGCAAGCCCTCGCACGGACCTTGTCGACGCCGAAATTAACGCGCTTCATATCATCAGCGGTTGCCTAAAGTCTACTCCACTCCCGTGGCTTCCTGTGCTGGCGAATATCGCTCCGGCCAACATCCGACGCGATGATGCGACGACACGGGATAATTAAAAACTTCACTCTGCTGCTCCATTAAGATCTAACAAGGAACCCCCATGGCCAAGGCTAAAATCTAGAAAACCATTCTAGATACGCGCCTCCGCTCGAGCAGCCGAAAATAAAGACACCGCCCCTTGATGGTCTGAATCATGGGCGGCTATGGACGTGGCAAGCAAAAACATAATTCACAATCCGACGGTGGACGTATCGGGATTCTCTCTTCCACGACGACTATGGACCACGTTGAACCGCGCTCGAACGCAACACACAAAGACTAGTGTTAAACAGCTGCACGACTATGCGTGCCAGCGGGTTGTTAATCGCAGCGTGAACACGCGCGCTTCTGCAGGCGGTTTATCTCCTAACCCGCGCACGCACTATGATGAAAGCTACGGCTCTGCCTTCGCCACTCATCTGCCCAGGCAGCTGCTCCACACACACACAAATCACACTGCACCGATACTGTGCTAACTTTTATTCATGGCGCAAAACCCTGCACTGCCCGGAGGAAATATTCCGCGAGCAGAGCCTATCCTATCACGACAAAATTCCCCCAAACACTTACGCGCCCTGTTGCCTACATCGCAGCCATTCTCACAGCGTCGCACGGACGTGGGGAGAGGCGGAGGGACGGAGATGGGAGAGAACCTTGCCTCACGCTTGTCTTGTGGCGGCACTCGCTGGCGTCTCATGGACGCTGCGAGTGGCTCGAAGAGGCAGGGAGTCGGTCTGGGTCACCGAGCGGCTGGAGATCAGAAGACCCTTGAACCGTTTCGGGTTCCCCCTATTTATGCCCTGGGTTTTCGAAAATCCAGGGTTACATTACATCATCCTGCACAGTCAATCGTTACCTAGGGCAGGGGTCGGCAACCAAAATAACAAGAGCCATTTCTTTCCAATTCGGTACAAAATTCAGTATTTCAAGAGCCGCAATGCATCTGAGTACATACTGTACATATGTAATGGGTTCCGGAGACACTTGTAGATGTAACTTCTTTATTACAATACAACACTCCAACAGTCCTGATACTCTGTTACAGCCTAGGTACACAGCCTAGCTACACAGCCTAGATACTCTACTCTGGCTACGCTCTGGACTCGCCCTCACAAGGTCGTAGCGTCGGGAGTTCCAGAGTCCCAGCGCTGGCTCTCACAGCATCCCAGGGTCTTCAGATGGCTGGTCGTGGGTCTTGGGTCTTGAGTTACAACTGGGCCGATCGTCCAGGGAGCTCTCCTTTTATGCCTGGTCCGACGAGGGGTGGGTCTTGTGCGCCACCAGACATCCCACAGAGCACACACAGCCCCCCCCCCCCCGTTGGCGGCGCCAAAAAGGCTTAAGCGCCTGGGAACCCAACGCCTGGCGCCCAAAGGCTTAAAAGCGTCTGGATCCCCTGGGAACCCAGTGCCTGGCGCCCAGAGGCTTACGCGTCTGGACCCACCTGGGAACCCAGAGCCTACAGCAGCCCCTCCCTTCTTATGTCACTACATTACCCCCCTCTACGTAGCCTCCAGCCGACCCGGCTGTCAAAAAAAAATACAATTGTACAAGAAATTATTTGTTAACCATCAGAATGAGTGTGTGACAATCAAGAAAAAAAAATGAGAAGAAAGCGCCTCTCCCCCTCCTGTGGTCACCGATGCAGAACAACACTGTATAAACACATATATGCAGGATGAACGCACGCCCCAATCGCCCACTATACATGATGGCAAAGTGAGTGGCGTCGCGTTGGGACGAGAGTTCGTGGGCGGGGGTCATGAAAATCGTTTGAGTTTTGAGCGAGTCCGAGTGGCAGGTCCATCGGTCGCGACGGAGGCGGGAGGGGACCGACGACCCGCTGTTGCGCTTGTGTCCTGGGTCGCTGATCCCGCGGGCAAGCTTGTTCCCGCTTGGTCGGCCGTGGCGGATTTCATTCCCAAGGCACCTGAGGGCGGGTCAGCGGGACCTGCCCGAGAGTTAGAAGCAGCATCATCGCGGCGCGGCTCGTCAGACATGTCGCGCTCTCGGCCCCGGAGAAGTGAAGGAGGTGTGTAGGGTTGAATGTAAGGTTTTAGACGTGACGGGTGCACGAACCAACGTCGCTTGCCATGCTGGATCCTGACACACTGCGGGCGGAGAACGCGAATAATAACAACCGGGCCTCTCCAAGGCTTAAGCAGTTTTGAGGAAGTAGCCAATGGTACCTGCGGGCAGTGGAGCCAGGCGCGGTCCCCTTCCACCCAAACGTGGCGGGATGTGCGGAGATTCCGCAACCGCTCGTTGGCAAGCTGACGGGCTTCTGAGTTATTTTGAGCAGCCTCCCGGGCATCCATGAGACGACGCACATTAGCACGGATGTGGTCGGCAATCTTAGCCTTAGGTGCGGGCTGTTTAATGTGCAATTGTACGTCGATTGGGGGGCAAACCTCCCTACCATACATAAGATAGAATGGCGAGTACCCGGTGGCAGCATGGGGCGCCATTCTATAGGCGGCCAAGACACCAGGTATGTGGAGATCCCAATCAGTCTGTGACTCAGACACCTGGTGGCTTAGCATGGAGGTAAGTGTCCTATGTAATCGCTCGACCATACCGTCAGTCTGGGGGTGATATGGCGAGGTGCGAATTTTGTGTGTCCCTAGCAGGTTGCACACATCCCGCAACAGCGTGGAAGAGAAATTTTTCCCTTGGTCGGTCAGCAGGCGTTCGGGAGCACCCTTGTCCAGGACGTAGCCCTGGAAAAAGGCCTCCGTAATGGCTGCTGCAGACTGGTTGGGGAGTGGCCAGGCCATGGCCCATCGGGTAAAATATTCGACCCCAACCAAAAGGTACTTACTACCCCGAGGAGTAGCGGGAAACGGACCCAAAATATCCAATGCGACGATCTCATTGACCCGGGAAACTTTAATGGATTGGAGCGGCGGGCAGGACGGCCTAGCAGGTGGTTTCCGCCGTGCACATTCTGTGCAACCTTGCACAAGGTCAGCCACATCGTTTGCCATGCCCGGCCAGAAAAATTCCAATTGGATTTTAGCTAGTGTTTTCTGAACACCCAAGTGCAAGAGGCGACTGTGGGTTTCCCACACAAGTCGCCCCCGCAGGGAGGTGGG